CTAGCTGGATTTTCAAAGAGCACTATTTTTATTCCTATAGTCTGATTTCATGTAATACATAGTCTTATGACTATTTTGAGAAACATAATTTATTAGAACTAGCCAAAAACCAGAAAAAAAAAAAAAAAAGTTTTACACGAAGTCTTCTTTATATGAAACTCCTAGCTGGATTTTCAAAGAGCACTATTTTTATTCCTATAGTCTGATTTCATGTAATACATAGTCTTATGACTATTTTGAGAAACATAATTTATTACTAATAAATTGTTGATTCTTTTCTAACTAAAACAACTGATACTCTTTTTTACTTATGGGGAAAGGAGAAACTGGCTTTAAATTTCTTGAAAATTGACTCATTAATATTTAGTTCTGCCAACTTCAAAGTGATTTGTAAGCTATTTATCAAGCTTTGATAACCAGTTCACACATCAATGAATTTAGAAAATTCAAAATAAATAACTGGAGAGCCAGAAAATAATGACTTTCTCACTTTCCCAAAACAGTCTCTAAGATCTAGTACTTCCAGGTCTAGACATAGGTAAATACATATTTTCAGTATAAGAACTGCACAGAGGTACCTGAGCATCATAGTTCTGTTGGATGAATCTCAAATGAAAGAAAAAATAACTCCCTCTTTGATTTCCTGAAAAAATCATAAGTACCTTATATTTGGTACACTTTTACAGAAATGGAATCTATTTATAAGAGAGTGTATTTTTAAATGTTATAATTATTATAATTTATTTGATGTAAAACATAATTTAATAAAGAAGCAGAGCACCAATGTTAACAGATTGAATTGTGCTCCTCCCCACAAAAAGATAAATTAAAAGTCCTAATCCCTGCACCTGTGAAAGTGACCCTGTGTAGAAATAACATTTTTTTTTTTTTTTTTTGGCAAGATGAGGCTAGAGATTCTGCTTCTGTAAAGATTTATAGTCTTGATAACACTATGGGGAAGTTCTATTCTGTCCTTTACGGTAGCCATGAGTCAGAGTTGACTGGATAGCAGTGGATTTTTTTGTTTGTTTGTTAATGAGGTCATACCAGATGGGATGAATCCTAAACCTAATCCCTTCTGAGAGGTGTTTTAAAAAGGGAAGACAGACACAGAGACACACATAAAAGAAGACACCTTGTGAGGATCTGTTTTATAAGTCCAGGAATGCCATGGGCTACAGAAGCTGAATGAGACCAGGAAGAACCAGTTGCTCCACAGAAGAAAGATGAGGCAGTTGGCTCCATAAAGATTTATAGCCTTGGAAACACTATAGGGCTCTGTCTTATAGGGTTGCTATGAGTTGGAATTAACTCAGTGGCAGTGGGCTTGGTTTGGTTTGGTTAAGAAGTCTGGTTTCTCACTACTTCCTTTTACATACTTACATTTATATGAATCTGCAGAAAGAATGTGTAGTAAATTTGTTTTGTTATTAGATGTCTTGACTTTTTACATATAGATTAACAAGGAACATTAAAAGAGTAACGTGTATTTTTTAGGGTAAAGCACTAATTTTGCTCTATGTCTTCTACAATGTAGTAGATATTTTCCAAAAAAGCACTGCATTATAGAAGTTTCCATAATAAAATTATAGGGATAATGAAGCAACCACCACTCATCTGTCAGTTTGTCACACTTTGGTGGCTTGCATGTTGCTGTGAGGCTGCAGGGTCACCCAGGGTGTACAGGTTTCAGTGGAGCTTCCAGACTAAGACAGATTTGGAGGAAACTGAAGATTTTTACTAACGTCTGCAGTTTGAACTTGACCAAACATGCAATCAAGATGTGTTGATTATCATTGTTGATTGGAATGCACAAGTTGGAAACAAAGAAGAATCACCAGCAGTTGGAAAATATGGTCTTGGTGATAGATATGATGCTGGAGATCTCATGATAGAATTTTGCAAGACCAATGACTTCCTCATTGCAAATACCTTTTTTCATCAACATGAAAGGTGGCTACACACATGACCTACACCAGACAGAATATACAGGAATCAGATTGACTATATCTGTGGAAAGAGGCAATGAAGAAGCTCAGTATCTTTACCCAAAACAGGGCCAGGAGCTGACTGTGAAATAGATGATCCATTGCTCATATGCAAGTTCAGGCTGAGGCGGAAGAAAATTAAACAAGTCCTTGAGAGCCAAAATATGACATTTATTATATTCCACCTGAGTTTAGAGACCATCTGAAGAATAGACATGACTTAATGAACATGAATGACAAAAAAAAAAAAAAAAGTAATTGTGGGATGATATGC